CAACTGACACCAATAGGGTACTTTTAGCTTCACAAAGCACTTTAGATAGATTGTACAATTTGACCACAAGACCCCTGTAAGGCTGGTGCTATTATTCCTACTTTACAGATGAGGAAACTGAGGCTCCAACAGACTATGTTGGCCTTTTTCATAAAGCCAGTAAACATCTGGAGAGGTATTCAAACCCAGATCTCCCTGCTTAAGTTTGGCATCATGACAAAACAAACAAACAAAAAACCAGTTTGGCAATGGACAAAGTTGGCTTTGAAAAAATGTTGCTATTCCCTAAACCCCATGACAAACATTTAGAAGACCTAGAGATAGGCCAAATAACCCAAAGCCAATTGTATTTTAGGTGGTCGTTTTGTCTAATGGCAGGATGTGAGTCAATCCAGTTTGACCAGTCACGAGCTCGTGGGAGGATTACGGCTATTCCAGTGGGTTGCAGCCCTCGACTGTGAGATATTTGGTTTCTGGTCAATATCAAGGCCATAATACTGATTTGGCTTCATGTGGGTTGTGATGCGAAAGAGTCAGGGGAGACCAACCTTGGAATCTTGAATCTAATTCTCACTAGCTCCATGACAATGGACAAGTTATTTAACCTCTCTCTTGTCTCAGATGCCTTATCTATAAAATATAAATAATACCTATGGTAAGTATTACAGGTTTGATATTACAGATATTATCCAGTTTTATGTGCATGTATGTATATATATATACACATATATGTACATATATACACATATATACACATACACAAATACACGTATGTGTGCATATATGTATGTGTATTTAGATATATATGTACGTGTGTATTTAAACAGATAATACATGTACAACATAGATATTTATCATATGTTGTTGTTCAATTGTTTCAATTGTGTCCAACTCTTTGTGACCATATTTGGGGTCTTTTTAGCAAAGATACTAGGGTGGTTTACCATTCTTTCTCCAGCTCATTTTTACAGATGAGGAAACTGAGGCAGAATTGAGTGATTTGCCTAGGGTCACACAGCTACTAAATGTCTGAGGCTGGATTTAAATTCAGATCTTCTGACTAGGCCTGGCGCTGTATCCACTGAGCCAGCTAGCAGCGTCTATCTATCTATTTATCTCTTGGTAAATCTGAAAGTATTGATATGAGCTATTAATTTTACCCCCTAGAGCCTTGTATTGTGTCTTTAATGGAGAAGATTTGTGGGCTTGTTGAGATGAGAGGAGAGTGCAATATGGCAGACAGAGTTCTAAACTTAGAACTGGAAAACCTATATTTGGGTCCCAGCTATGCCACTTACTCATCCAAGTCCCCTCATCCCTCTGGGACTCAGTTTACTCCTTTGTAAAATAGGACTAAGGTTCCCTTCCAGTTCCAACATTTGGTGAGATTTGGTCTGTTTGTGACAATAGGAGGATGAGAAGGAATAGAGGCATAGGGTAGAATGAAGGCACCTAAGGAAGGCCATGGTAAGGTTCTGGAGGGAAGGAATAAGGTCTAAGACACACTTACTGTAAGCCAGAGACTGAAAAGTTGAGCACTCTCACAAAATATTGTGATCTGGCCATCAGTGTAGCCCTTGTGGTTCTCTATCACGTCTTTCATTCTGATATATTCCTCCTTGCCCCTTCTTAACAGCCACCCCACCCCTATTTGGCATGAGAGAACCAGGGCCACCTTTGTCTGATGGTAGAGCTAAAATTGGAAAAACCCAAGGTGTCTCCCCCACCCCGGCCCTGGGCACCTACTGTAAGATTGGGATAGCATGGGGAGTGGTCCTTAGAGCCATAGTCTTACTCTGCTATTACTTTTATCTTCTTCAAACGTACAGGATGGAGCCCACAATTTGGGGCTAGAGAGGACAGTCACTATGCATGATGGGAGAGAAATGCTACCAGACTTAGAGAATTCTTTGAAACCCAAGGGAGAATGGAAACCACCAGTGTGCTATCGGCCGAGGTACATCCCCCTCCACCTACTTGTGCATAATCTCAGGTGAGAATCCTCTGCTCTGGGCATCTTGTTGGGGATAGGATAGGTCTTTCTATCTGTAGTCTCCTTTACCTCTCTCATCCTAGGGACAATGAGGGAGTGTTGTCTCCCAGGCAGGTTTATTGTTGTATCCCTATAATGCTAGAGACACCACCAAAGAAAGCTTCTTTTGCCCCTAATTCTTTAAGCTATCTTCCTCAGTCTCGAGCCATTAGTAACATAACACTGTACCAGCCCTTTAGAATACAGGTTTATTGACATGAGGAAGCATTATGAGTAGAAAGAATCCTGCGTTTGGAATCCGAGAACCTAGGTTCAAATCTTAACCCCGCATTGTGTGAATATGAGCAAGTGACTTTGACTTTCTGGGCCTCAATTTCCCCTTTTAAAAAATGAGGGAGAGCCAGGCATGGCAATGCACACCTGTAATTCCTGCCATAAAGAGAAGGTGAGGCTGCTGGATTGTTTGAGCTTGGGACTTCTGAGCTGCAGTGGGGATAATATCAACTGGGTGTCTATACTATGTCCATGCCACTATGGTGAGTCCTACAGAATTTAGAGGAGGGGGACGGGGACAAGGCTGCCTAAGGAGGGACAAATCTGTCCAGGTTGGAAGCAGAAACTTCAAAGTTTCTGGGCCAGTCAGCAGTCTGATTTGCCTTTCGAGGGGTCACTGTACTTCCAGCCTGGGTAAGATTGGGAGACCTAGCCAAAAAAAGGGGGAGGGGGCTCAGGGAGCAAGAGGAAGTTGAATTTAGATAAGATGTTAGAGATGGGAACAATTCCTGTTCAGGTATAGGTCAGACTAGATAATTATGAATTCCCTTCTAAAATGTTGAGAGTCTGACTCAACTCAATGCAAGTATTATCTACTACGAGGCGCCAGGCATTTTGCTAAGTGTTGAAGATACAGAGACAACATTGACATAGTCCCTGGCCATGAGGAGCCTACATTCTACTGTAGGGTTGGGGAACAAATAAATTATACATAGATATATGAACACAAAATATATACGTAACCCAGTACCACCCAAAGCCACTCACCAGGTTCAGTCCTTGGAGCCGATTCAAGAGTCTGTTTTTCTCTTGGGTTTGTTATATCCACAGAAGGAGTTTACAGTCTTCAGACAGAGCCAGTCAATAAACATTTATTATAGATAGAGCTTAGGTATAGCTCAGGTCTAGGCTTCCTTGAAGGTAGATAAAAGGAAGCCCCACCTCCCATACAAGTACTCATGGTGATAAATGTGAATCTTATCTGGAATAGCCTTTATGTCATTCCACAGAAAATTCAGAAAGTATCAAGTATTCATAGGAGCTCATAAGAAGACATAAAAAATATGCAAAGCATTCAAATAAAACACCCTCTCAGGAACAATCACATTTTGGGATTTCTGAGCAAGCAACTTGTTCCCATCAGGCCAGTATTGTCCAAATCACTCCCTCGCATTGGGGTGGGTGAGTGGATGAAGTGCCCGCAGTCCAAGTCCCTTCCCCAGGTCACAAGTGTCCTTCAATGCTCTTCTCGCCATGGTGGCCACATGATTGAGCCTCCTCCTCCTTTTTTGTTTTCCTTGAAGTTTTATTGATATCTTTTGTTTTCCCATCAGCCATTTTGGGATATGTCCTCTCCCCATCCTCCAACCAGTGAGCCATCCCATGTAACAAAGAAAAGCAGTTAAGCAAAACCAAGACAGCTGCATCTTCTAACATTTCACGCAACATTCATACCCACAGTATCCTAATCCAAGGAAATAGGAGAAAGGTATTTATGGCTTGTTCAATTCCACTTGATAAAGACTGAGTTGTTTAAGCTACCTATTTCTTATTATGTGTTTTTTATATTTTGGTAGGGCAATCACATTTTTTTTTTGTTAAAATTTTAATATCTCAATTTGATTGAAAGCCTACAAATTCTTTTCTGCAATCATTTAGCCACCGCTTTGCTTAGCTGCCAATCTCTTGTCTCTTTCTTCTCAGTTGTAAGGTGGACACCCTTTCCTCAGGGAAGAGAGATCCAAGGCTTATTATCTTTGCTAATAACAAAAATGTTTGAGAGTCTTGCATCTTTTACATGGACAACACCAAAAGAGCCAGGATGTTTCTCCCTGTTAGTGATCCCACCAATCTGACCCAAGGTAGCTCTACCCGTTGCCATACAGAGATTACCAGTATAAAAAATTTTTTTTTTTTTAAGGCAACTGGGATTAAGTGACAGTGTCAAGTGTTTGGTCTGAGGCTGGATTTGAACTCAGGTCCTCCTGACTTCTATCCACTGTGCCACCTAGTTGCCCCTAGTATCAAACTTGATAAAATCAGTGATCTTGCCAGCTTTTAAATCAATCTGAACGACATCATTCACTTTGATGAGAGGATCTGGATAACAGATAGTACAGGCATCATGGGTCACCAGATGGAGAATACCTTTTGTACCCACAAAGCTTTTTCTCACTTTGCACAATTTATATTTAGCCTCCTCATCTGTAATATGATGAACAGCAAAGTGTCCCTTTGTGTCATAAACCAGATGGAAATGTTTACCTGTCTTCTCAATGCTAATGACATCCATAAAGCCAGCAGGATGTGTAATATCGGTGCAGACCTTGCCATCAATCCTGCTGAATCACTGCATGCAGATCTTTACTCCATCTCCAATCAGGGCATGCTTGAGTCTGTTTCTCAGGAAGATGAGGAGCGGGAGACACTCTCTCAGCTTGTGGGGACCTGTGGATGGTCTTGGAGCAAAAACTCCTGTTAATTTAGCCAGTATCCTGTGCATGGGAGCTGCTATATGCTTCAGATACTTCTTGAGACCACAAGCCATGGTGCCGTCGTACCAGAGATAGAGTAGGAAATTGACTTGGCTGTGGAGTCAGAGGTTCTGTCTACTTCAGAGCTGTGTGCATTTGGCCACGTCACTTTACCAGCTGGGACAAGCCAGTCCCTCTTCCTCCTTTTCTAAGAGGGAACAGTGCTCAGGAAATCCCCTTCCCTCTCTCCAGAGGATGTCATTCTTGAACTCTCAAATTTGGGGTTGTTTCTGAAGCAACACCCCCTGCTCCCAGCCTCACACTGCCCAAGAAATCTCCCTTCTCTGAATAGAAGACTGGTCTGGATTCTAGGAAGTTGGGGTTCAGGAACATGGTCCATGGGTAAGTCACTTGGTCTCTCCCTCTGTTTCCTCAACTGTAAAATGGAGATAATAATAGTATGTACCTCCCAGGGTTCTTGAGATTTTTTAAAAAAGTGCTTAGCACAGTACATGGCACATAGTAAGCACTGTTTTCTTCCTTCCTTATTAACACTCATTACATGCAGAAGGAATTTTAATTTGGAGGGAGAACAGGAAAAGCCTTTTTCTAGTAAGAGTGGAGACAGATGGGAAAGGCCAGCACTCCTGGTGTGGGGGAGAGGCCATGTCAAAGCGAATAGAGAGTGAACTGTGGCTCTAAGGACCCACCTCAAGGCTATCCCAATCCCAAGGATGGGGTGGGGGGGACCCTGGATTTTTCCAATCGCAGCTCCACCATTAAACCAAGTATCACTGATTGGTAGCCCTGGTTCTCCCGTGCCAAATAGGGGTGGGGTGGCTGTTAAGGAGGGGCAAGGAGGACTATATCAGAATGAAAGACAAGGGATGCAGTGATGGCCAGATCGAAATGTTTTGTGAGAGTGCTCAACTCTTCAGTCTCTGGCTTCCAATAAATTTATCTTTGACCTTATTCTTCCCCTCCAGAACCTTGCCATGGTCTTCCTTAGGTTCCCTCATTGTACCCTACGCCTCTATTCCTTTTCATCCTCCATTGTCACAAACTCCACACCAAACCTCACCAAATGTTGGAACTGGAAGAGAATCTTACACTTATTTTACAGAGGAGGAAACTGAGTCCCAGAGGGATGAGGTGACCTAGATGAGTAAGTGGCATAGCTGAGACTTAAATACAGATCTTCCAGTTCTAAATTTAGAACTCTTTCCACAATATTATACTCTCCCCTCATCTCAACCAACCTGCAAAACTTCTCCATTAAAAACACAGTACAAAGCTCTAGAGGGTAAAAATAATAGCTCATATTTCTACAATACATAGTAGATGGAGAGTTGGTCTCACAGTCAGGAAGACCTGAGTTCAAGTCTCGCCATTGGTATATATTGTCTGTGTAATCTTGGCCAAGTTACTTAATTGCTTCAGCTTTCCAGGTGAGGGAGAGTAGCTTGAGCATGGGGGCCGACTTTTGGAAAGATAAAGAAATGGGAAGGGGCATGTCAAGTCCTAGGGGACAGGTAATGGGCCAGTTTGGCGGGCATATAGAGTGAATGAAGTGGGGGTGATGGTATATGAAATGAGTCTGGAAAGGTAAATTGGAACCAGATTGTAGGGTTTTTTTTTTTTAAATGAAACACTGAGGAATTTGTACTTTAATCTCAAGACAGGGAGTCAGTGAAAGGTGGTGTGTGTGTGTGTGTGTGTGTGTGTGTGTGTGTGTGACACCAGCTTTGTGAATTAAGAATATGATCTGGCAGTTTTGTAGAGAATGTATGGTAGACATAACAAATCTGAGATCTAGTATGAAACTGCTCTCCAGAGAGCTCTCCTGATGACTACCTGCTGGTTCAGGATTCCCTATCCTCCCAAATCTAATCAATTTTCTCACTCTGTTCTCTTCTAAGCTCACACTCTGATTTAACTAAAAAAAAATTCCTTGTAGTTTTCTTATTTCTCAACTTCTTAGCTTCTTGATGAGTTCCAACTAAGATTATCTCCAACTGAAATAATATCTATACAGTACTTAGCACAGTGCCTGGCACAGAGTAGGCACTTAATAAATGCTTATTCCTTTCCCTTCCCCTTTTTCTTTCTTAGGAAATGTCCTTGTCATGCTTCTTTTTCCCTTTTGGGGTATGTGGCATACAAAATGTTAGAGAGACATAGCTCCTGGGTAATTAATCATTTTTATTAATCATGCTAGCATTTAATTAACAAAAGGGGTCACTGACAGTCTCAAATACCGAAGACCTCTCATGGAACCCACTCTAGCTTATATGACCTTGGGAGAATGGGTGTTTCTGAGGGTGACAATCAACTCAGATTGGTTAATAATTAATGAGAAGAATGGATATTTATAATGAGAGGTGGTCTTATTCTAATGAGCGATTGGAGGACATGACTGATCAGTCAGTCTTGGACAAAAAAACTGATTTCTTATCCAGATTACCCCTGCCTACGGCAGTCTAGACAAAAAGGGGTCCACCTGTGCTCAGAACTGGTTGAGTGGAGTACAATGGACCAGAATTCACCTTACATTAAATTCTTTATAAGGTTCTCTAGTTGGGTGGAGGTAACAATTCCAAGATTTCATCTTTTCAACCACCCTATCCTTCAGAGAACTAAACTTTGACGTAATCTCTAAATGAGGAAGGGAAAAAATCCTGGATCTCCCCAATATTTGGTTATTTAATAATGATTTCTCTCAGGGTACATAGTGCTAGTCTGCCTACCAAATCCCCTTTCTCATTTTCCACCCTGTCCTGTTCATCCTCAGCCTGTCTCTGATCCAACATGAACGAGCATTTCTGAGTATCTGTGTTGACCCCCAACATACACAAGAACACTCTTTTGTGCAAGAAGGGGACCAACCCTTAGAATACACAGAGGATTGGGGAAGAGATGGTGGTTGGTTGGCTGCTGTCCCTCATTCTCAAAGAGGACCAAAATGACATCATTATGTTAGAGTCAAGTTACAAGTGTGTCCAACTATAGCTGATCAGACCAACATGATCTTGGAAGACTCTACCACAGATTGGGCACAAATAGTCCATGTGAACATTTTGGGGAAGACATATTCATTATTTGGATCACAAGATCTACAGCTATAAGAGACTTTAGCAAGTATCTAATTCCAGTGGAATAGAGGGCTTTTTGAATTGTGGAACTGGTATTGACTACAATCAAGAAGGCCAGGGTCCACATTCTTACTACGACATTAGCCGCCTGACCAGAGACAAATTATTTCCTCTGTCTAAGTCTCACAGTTCCCATCTGTACCTGTTCTAACCATGTCACAGGGTTGCTGTGACATTCAAATGAGAGGGCACATATAAAGAGCTATGCCAACTTTTTAAGAGTCTTATTATCTCCTCTAATGATTGGTTTCTCTTTCACAAGGTAGAAATGGTATCTCTCTCCAGAGCCTTGGTTTCTAGCATTGTTTCACTGGGAGAAGGGGGAAAAAAAAGTCTGAAATTTCTTGAGAAGTGGAGGAGCTCATTGTCTAAAGCCTTGTGGTCCTCTCCCTTACTGTATCTTATCGGTGGAAATCTTTCTTTCTCACATGTCACTGACTATTTATTGTTCTTTTCTGCCCACCCCATTTATTTAGCAGGATATGGAATTTGGAAAAATCATAAGACCTATCCATATGGGGTGAAGATGCATTAGACTTGTGTTTGGACAATTACCCAGAGTTAAAAATGAGGATGAAGATACCCAGGAATCAGCATTTCATTCTGATGGAAATTCTGCCTTCAGAGTCCACGTACCAGTACTGCTGTGAACTCTTCTATTTCTCCATGAAGCCCCTGCAATCAGTGGTATTAAGGATCTTCCAGCTCTACAACCCAGAACTGTGGGAGCAATACAAAAGGTGTAGGAATAGGGGGAGAAATTGGAAGGGGGGTGTCACAGGGATGATTAGAGAGGATAATGGGGACCGGGTACTTACGTTTTAGGGAAGCATTGGACTGGGCAATCTCTAATGATCCTTCCAACTCTGAGATTCTTTGACTCTGTGTAATAGGGGACGATGTTGGGGAAGACGGAGAGATAACATGCTTATGCAGTATCTCCCTTGCCTTGACCCCCTTAGGCAGAAGGCAATGATGACAGTTCACAAGGCTGTTTCTACCTCCCTGGAATATCATCTCTTTCATGAAACCACCATAAGACTCGAGCATCTGGCAGCCAATGGCCTGGACTCTAAATTAAGCAGATATGCTGGCATCTTGGGCTATGGAACCTACTTCTCCTTGCATGCTAAAACTGCCTCTTTGATGAACTTGGTTTATAACCCTGACTTTGGGCATGTCATAGTGCTAGCCAGAGTGCTGGTTGGAGAAAATACTGTTGGGAGACCAGGCCTTCAGGCTCCACCCTTTAAGCCAGATGGTCAGCAGTTTGAATTTTGTGTGAACAACACAGATAGGCCAACTCGTTTTGTCATATTCAAAGAAAAGTATAGCTTCCCCCACTTCATCATCTTGTACAAGCATTTCAGGGACTCAGTTCATTTAGTTTTCTGATTGGGAGAGGTGCTGGGGGAGTTAGTCATGCCACCCCACACCCATACACCCCCACCCCAGCCCCACCATCCCCACATACCACAAACTGCCCTGGCTTTTAGTCTTTTTTGGCTGTCATTTTGAAGCCAACCCCTGTTTGGAGTATTTTCCTTCATTCTCTACCTCATCATGTTCTTCCTTGATCATTTCTCTTCATTCTCTTTTCCTCTGTTGCTTCTGGTCTACTTTAGTCTCCAAGCAGGATCCAGTGTAGTTGGTAGGTAGTAAGTAGCCTGAGTCTGAATATTTTGTGTCACTCACAGACTCGACTCCATGATTAAATATTTCACATTAAAATGTTTTTTTAAATTGTTGACTCTCTATGGCCTCAGTTCCTAAGAAGACTTGATGTCTTGTCTTCTAGATGCTGTTGACTCTTTAACCCAGTTCAACAACATGCTTAGAGGGAGGACTGATCTTTTTTTTTTTTTCCCATTAAGGCTCAAAATCTGCTTTGTATCAAGTTTTGCCAGAGGCCTGATCTCCTCTCTTACTGAATCTTTGACTAATTTTCTCTTGAAAGAGAACAGAAGATCTTTCCCCCATTTGTCACATCTAGGTATACATTAATTAGACACCTAGTTTGTGTGTGGAACAAAGCATAGCTAGCAATAAGCATAAGTCTCTGTCCTCAAGAGGCTTATAGCTTAGTTATCACTGAAGAGTTACGAGGTTGGTTCACTCACTCGATGAATTTGAGTTCTTAATTTGTTAATGAGATATAACAAAAATGTTTATTTCCATAAAATTAAAACTGGGTAAAACTGGATACAGCCACTCTTGTCTTGTTCTGCTGTTAGAAATCAGTGAGTAGGACAAAGGCTAAGCTTTGCTTAGAGTGTGCATGCTTAATAAGCTCATGAATACTAACTTCTCCACTTCCAGGCAGGGCTAAGACGCCATTTTTTAAACATTCGATGTATGTAGAAGGAGGAAGGACATGTTAAGGAGCAGATGTGTAATAGGTGGGCTGGAAAGTTGTACACTCTGTAGTACTCAGCCAATGAGCAAACAGAGGAGGGACTTTGCAGTCAGGATTAGAAATAGTGAACTTTTGCTTTGGTAGATGTGTCTATTCAATAAGACATCGGCTTTTATAACTGCATAATAAACTGGGCTTTTAACTTCATCCCTGCTGAGTCCGAGTGAGTTATTTCTCACAGTTAACAAGGCTCTGTTTTATCTCATAGGCTCTCTCTACCTCTTCCTTTCCTTCTACAGTAAATAGTTTGTTCTCTGTTCCCAGCCTCCTTCCCTTCTGTTGCCTTAGGTAGAGGGGTAAGGGAAGGAGAAGAGAATAAACATTTATATAGCACCAACTATGTGCCAGGCACTGTACTAAGCACTTTTTACAAATATTATCTCATTTGATCCTCATGACAACCTTGTAAGGTAGGTGCTATTATTATCCCCTTTCCACAGTTGAGGAAACTGAGACAAACAGAGGTTAAAGTGGTATGCCTGGGGTCACAAACTAGCAAGTTTTTGAGGCTGGATTTGAATTGAGGTTTTCCTGACTCCAGGTCCACTGGTCTATCCACTGTACCACTAGCTGCCTTCAGTAGAGGAAGTAGCCACCAGCTCTGCCCTTAGCTCAGTAGTTGGTATTGAGGTGATTAGGGTGATAGTTGGTCTGAAAACTAGCCATTCTTATAGGCAGGGTCTCTTTCTCATTGTGTCCGGGCGTGATGAGATGCCCAGCCCAGGTGTCAATTCTGTGAACCTTCAGACTCTCCACTATTACTAACCCCATTCAACCAGTGTGGAGGAGAAACTGAGACAAGTAAAGGGGCCTTGTTCTCCCTTCCCTGTCTTCCTCCTCCTGAAACAGATTGCACCATGGGCTAGGACTGCTTCAGCAGAGCTAGGGCAGGAGTTTTCTCAACATGGTACAGGAAGAATGACGTGTCCACACAGCTGCACAAATGATCTTCCTAAGGCACAGGGGCTGAACCACACCATCCCCTTCCTCAGACAGTTTCTGTTACTTCCTGTTGCCTCTAGGGGAAAATACAAAGTCCTCAGTCAGCAGTTTAAAGAGCTCTATCTACCTTTCCAGCCTTTTATTACCCTGCTCCACACTCTCTGTTCTGGCCAAACAAACTTATTAATGATTTCATATCACGCCACCATGCATTCACACCAGCTCGTCTCCAGTACTTAGAATATACTCCCACTCTATTGCTCTGAAACTTAATTTTCCTTCAAAAATCAGCTCAGATGCCACCTTCTCTATGAAGCCTTGCCTGAATTCCCAGTTGTCAGTGTTCTTTCCTTCATAATATCATGCTGCATTTAATTAGGTAGATGTTGTATTATTCTCTAGCAGAATATGATGTCTTTGAGAGCAAGGATTCACCTCAAGTGCCTAAAACGATGCCACAATAGGTGACAGTAGCTGAATTTGTTTCTGAAGTGCCATTTCATCCTAGTGTCCAGGAAGTTCCCACAGTATGGGAGAGAGTTTGTGAAATGCCAGGAAGCTCTTTGTCTCTGGTGAGTGCCCAAAGGACAGGGGCCATTCCTACTGAACAGGGAGAATAGAGATTTGTAAGCCCTGCACCACACTGTTGAGGGAGCAACCTAAGTGTTTACAGCCTGACCACCCTCTAATGGTCGTAGGGGAGACTGCAGCCTTTGAACATGCTCCAGAGAAGAACTGAGGTGGTCACTGGGTTGGTGGTTTCAGGAGAATGCAGCCAGTGCACTGAATATATACTTCCTTGCTGGATAATTAATACAATACGCTATCATCTATATCTTATAAAAAACAATAGTTCAAGAGCCTCTGCTGTTATTTACTTTTTTCTAGTCAATCTTAAGACATAATTTTGTTTTCTTTTGAATGGTATTTGCTGAAACAGCATAATAGGGAAAATAGACATAAAATATTTCCCCCAATACCTGGGGCATAATCTCACAAACACGCTCATCATAAGCAGAAGGAATGGAGCCATCCGGAGAAAACGTGGCCAACACAGCTCACAAGGGAGGTGGGGGAATACACATAAGGGCAATATATCATGGGCCCCACTACCTGTAGAGTAGTATACGTGAAGGGGAGATGTGTAGATATGTGGATGGGTGAAGGTGCACACACTTGAAGAACAAGAGTGTCCGACTCATAGGTGGAGCAGCAATTTTTGCTATAAGGTCTCCAACGTTTTCTGGTGATGTAATAGTGCTACTCCTTTTGGTAATATTCCCTACTAGCCTAGCATGGACTGAACTTATGCCCCACCCAAGCCTGAGAAGGACACAATGTCTGCCCCACTTGGGTGGGGTCTAAACCAAAAAAAAAAAATTCAATCTCATTATCAGCAATGTCCTTCAAAAGACTGAACTTTTGAAATCAGGACTTTAGAATAAGGAGGGGTAATTCTGGAGCTCTCCAAATAATTGATTATTAATAATCATTTCTCTCAGTAAAGAAGTGAAAGAAGCATTCTGGGCATAGGGAACTGTATGAATAAAAGCACTAGACAGGAAGGAACAAGGAACATTTGGAGAATATAAGTTAATGAGTTTAACTGGTATATAAAGTATGTGGAGGAGAGTTATATTAGATAAAGTAGGCTAGCACCAGGTTGTTGTGGAGCTTGAATGCAATGAAAATGAATTCAAACTTTACTCTGGAGGAAATAAGTAGTCAATAAGTGTTGTGAGCAGAGGACTGACATGAATAGATCATACGAAAGATAAATCTGGAAGCAATAAGAAAGAAAAATTGAAGGTCAATAAGAGAAGAGGTGGAAAGACCATTTAAGAGACTGTTACAATGGTCCAAATGGGTAGTAATGAGGACTCATATCATAGAAACAGGGGGGACAGATGTGAGTGATGTTATAAAGGTGGATTTTTTCCTTTAGAGTGGCTGATACTCAGAAGATGCTGTTGGTGCCTCCTGTCAAGACACCCTGCCTCTGGCAGCTTTGGAAATGTTTGTTCCCAATTGCTTGGGCAGAAGTCATCAGCTATTTAAGGACTATTAGGCTGAATGTTTGAACAAACATTTTCACTCCTTCATATTCATGAAAATGTCTTCTCATGGTATATGGGACACAAACAGCCCATATTTTAGAAGTGTGTGTCTGTTGTTAAGAGAAACAGAGAAGACAAATAAGTTACTACCAGAGTACTTAATGACTGGAGAAGATATATGATAATAATTACCCACATTCCGAATCCCTGTTTCTTCTCACATATCTCCTTCACCCAGAATAGGCCTTTTTCTGTAAAGCAGTCATTATTAAGGGCATAAAGCTCTATCCAGTCTTAAATATTTTTTTTTCTGTTGTTCTCTTATAAAAATTTCCAAACAACCAAGTGATAAATATCACTATTGCTAACTTTGTATCTGACTTCAAGTTCATAAACATCAGGATTAATAAAGGATAGTAATGATGTCACAGCCAACTAAATGTAAAAGAATTTGAACTTTATGCTGATGAAAACAGTCAATAAAGATTTTTGAGCAGAGGACTGAAGTGAACAGATATCCTTGCTCCTAAACCAGGGAGAGAGGTCTCAGACTTCCTCAAAGTATAAAGACTCAGTTGTTTCTGTGAAGAAGCAACCAATAATCTGGCAGAAGACAGGGGGACTACGTTGGCATGGCTCACCCAATTGCTAAAAAGGACAAGCTTTTGCGATAGTAGTGCGTGATTGTGACACTTGTATCCAAGGTGAAATCTGAGATGATACAGCAACATTACCTCACCAGTGAGCGTTCCGCACTCTGCAATCCTGGACAGAAAAGGTGGTTGTCATTTTATTCTGCAATTAACCAGGAAGAGAGCTCATGTAATATACAATTTGACCATCAGGTGGTGCTATAGTCAAGCCAGCAGCCAAGCGTTTGTATCAGAGTGTGTCCACAGCACATAAGTGTACCGAAAGCTGTAGTACCACTATTGTTCACCAGAGGGGAGCTCAGCGTGCAAACTCTTAAATTACTCACTCTTGACACTAAGAATCCAGAGCTTGCACAGCTCATGGCACTATGCGTGCTGGTCCTAATTCAGTACTTAGTAATCTAGTGTGATGGCGTCCAATCGTTTATCGATTGCTGCTGTCTAATCTTTGCGGTCGTGTCTGACTCTTCATGACCCCATTTGGGGTTCTCTTAGCAAAGATACTGGAGTGGTTTGCCATTTCTTTCTCCAGTTCATTTGACAGATGAGGAAACTGAGGCAAAGAGGGTTAAGTGACTAGCCCAGGGTCACACAGCCAATAAGTTTCTCAGGATAGATTTGAACTCAGGAAGATGAGTCTTCCTGACTCAAGGCCTAACAGTCTATACTGTACCACCTAGCTGTCCTTATTACTTACCTCATATCTTAAAAAAAAGGATGCATTCCTGATATATGTATATTTATTAATGATATACACGTACTACTACATAAATGTATTATGGATATTACAATATACAAAAAACAGAACAATTTAATGTGAGATAAAGATGAAATAAAGAACATTGTAAAATAATTTTTATTCATAACAATAATATATATTATCATCTTGTATATGATGTGTATAAACACATGTGTACAATGCATATATTCACACATGTGTGTGCATGCACGTATGTAAAATGGCTGCCTGGGAAAAAGGAACGGGGTTGGGTCCCAGGGCCAAGCTGCCTGGATTAACAGGAGTGGGGCAGGGGGACTTAAAGTTTATGGGATTATAGGTTTAGAACTAGGAAGAACTCCAGAAACTATCAAGTTCAACTTCCTCATTTTTGCAGATAAGGAAACTGAGGTCAAAGACAATTAAGTGACTTGCTTTAAGGGAGGGTTAGGGGAAGGCTTTGAACCCTGGTCCTCTGACTCCAGAGTTGGGGTTTTTTCTTTCTAGCTATACCATGATACTTTGGAACTGGTCTGGGGGCCTTGAGCCTGGTTAGGAGATAAGGTGAGGTTGCAGATGGGGATCAGACTGTGGAAAGAAGGGGACTCCAACAAGTACATACCTATATCTACACCTAGAAATTAGAAATTTCCAGTGTCTGAGAATCACAGTTTGGGTTATGAGACATACTTAATTTGTAGCAGGTGCAGCAAGCTTAGATCTGATGGTGACAGGTGTGGTGGCAGTGAAGGGCAAGGCGAAGCCATGTTTCAAACATGCCCTGTGATTGGCTGTCATGGCTAGGGTGGGATGTATTTCTATAAGACAAATCCCTATCAGTTGTTTCACATAGCTCCTGGTGTGCATGTACCCCACTTTGGGGACCACTGATCTAGGGACATGAGAATGCAATATAACTCTGGATTATTATAACCACGGAAATCTCCAAAGTCCTATCTGAGAAATTTCCTTCAGTCTCAACAAACCACTCTACTTTTTTTTAGGCAATTGGGGTTAAGTGACTTGCCCAGGGTCACACAGCTAGTAAGTGTCAAGCATTTGATCTGAGTCTGGATTTGAACTCAGGTCCTCCTGACTTCAGGGCCAGTGCTCTATCCACTGTGCCACCTAGCTGCCCCTCTATTTCTTATTTAAAAGACAATCCACATTGTGGCTGCAACCTATATGGCATAAAGAAACTGCTTCAGTCCATCATCTCCCCCAGACCTCCTGATAGCTTGCAGGTCATGGGAAAGATTAAAGGAAGGGAATGCATGTGACACTATGTGTGGAGCAGTCATGTATGCAATGAAGAAATAGTGAAACACATCAAGCACTGGGATCAGTTTCCCAGTAGCTGCCAGACCAGTCCTTCTCCATCCGTATCCATGTCTGCGTCCACATCCACATCCATGTCCGTGTTCACGTCTACATCTTTCTTGGCCAACCTGCAAGGCCACTGCCCCAGAGGATTCAGCTCTACTGCTGTTGCTTTCCAGGCCTGTCTCAGCTCTGCAGCCACTGTGGCTACCTCTTAAAGGTACAGTGCAACAAGCAGAAAGCCCTAGGCCAACCAATAGCTCTGTCTCTATCCTTGCTTTTTTGCCCCTGGTCATAGAATGGAAAGGCATACTGGAATCCTTCAAGGGCAAAATCAGAGGAAACAAGGATTTAGGCATTTGTCTATGTTAATAATTATTTCCCTCAGTGCTTCACTAATTTGTTTCACCCCTGAAAGGCCTGTATGAAGGAGGAGTCGTCACAAAACCTGCTACATTCATAATTGTATTTAGTAATAACAATAAATGCGAAGGTTACAAAGCACTTTCCAAGCACTAGCTCATTTGATTCTCACAACAGCCCTGTAGCTGTGTACTGCTGACAGCATACTCCTCATGTTATAAACGGAAAAACAGTGAGAGTAAGTACCTTCCTTATTGCCCAGAGTGTCATGATTGGAATCCAGATTGTCCTGATGCTGGATAGAATTCTGTTTACGACAGCATACTTCACAACATTTTGTGCTTAATTTTTTTTCTCAGGTGAGATTATCAAATTGTTGCCACAGGCCCCTTTCCCCAATGACCCATAGATTCAGCACCTCTGATTGCACAGTTTCGGTTTATTGTGCTTTCTGGACCTCGAAGTTCAACTTCATATTAAAAGCCAGATTTACAAAAGAGTTCCATTAGCATTTTTCACTTCATCCAAGCATTTGCCATTTAGCCCCCCTACAAAGCAATTCCCTATACTGCACTAAAAATGTGATGAGTAAAATCACGACTTACACACATCTCTTAACCTCCACCAAGTTCAGTTTCCTCACTGGTAAAAAGACAGAGGTGGCTGAGTCGAATCCACATAGAATTGCAGGAGTCTTAGAGGTAACGTAGTATGACTCCTATATTTCATGGGCAGGGAAACAGGACCAGAGAGAATAAGTGACCTTCCCAAGGTCACACAAGTGGCAAAGCTGTGTTTTGAACCCAGATACCAACTCTGATTCCACTGGCCTGGGCCTGGCCCTAGTGCTCCCTTCCCTCTTCTCTACTGCCCTGCAATTACCCAGGTATAGGGTCTCATTATCACTGACCTGGAGCATTTCAAGTGCCTCCTTTCTCTCACCCCTTTAATCCACCTTTCCCCGATTAATCTTTGTGGTTAGACTTACTTATGTCACTCCTAATCTCAACATTATTCAGTTATTCTCTAAGCCTATAAGTTTCAGGGAAAGGTACTCACCTGCATTACAACAGGGAGCTCTCTCACTTTGGAGTTCCTTGTACAAATGAAATCACAGACCCAGTCTTTAACCTCTACACCTAAAAGTTACATGTAAAACCCAAAGCTAGCCTATTTGTAGGAAATAGTAGACACCAGCCCAATAAGGGTAAAGCAAACCTATGCCCTCTCCTTACTACGTCTTGAGGTGGTTTTAGAAATATTGGCATTAGCATTAAGGCAAGAAAAAGAAACTAAATGCATAAACGCTGACAAGGAGGAGATGCAATTATGCCTATTTACAAATATGATGGTTTGCTTAGAAAAGCCCAGAGAGGCAGCAGAGAATCTAAGCCACTTAATGGCATCAGTAAAGTAGGATACAAACTAAATACACAAACTTCATCAAAGTATTTCTGTATAGCTATGCCAAAGTATAAGAAGAAATAATAGAAAGTGAAATCCTACTCAAAATAACAGCAATGGGTATGCTTTTCAATTGTGGTGCTGGAGAAGTCCCTCGAGAGTCCGTTGGATAACAAAGAGATGAAATCAATCAAAACTGAAAGGAACTAATTCAGGCTATTTACTGGAAGGGCAAATACTGAAGCTGAAGTTTAAATACTTTGGCCACATAATGAGAAAACAAGACTCACTGGAAAAGATCCTGATGTTGGAAAAGACTGAAAAAAAAAAAGAAGGGGATGGCAGAGGACGAGATAGATAGATACTATTGTGGAAGCAATGAACATGAGCTTGGACAGACTGTGAGAGACAGTGAGTGATATAAAGGCCTGACCCACTCTGGTCCATGGTCACAAAGAGCCAGTCGTGACTAAAAGGCAACAACAACCACAACAACAATCATCAAGATTATTGATACAGTTTACAAATGAGAAAAGCAGATCAGTGGATCAATGAAATACCCAAGAAGCAGAAACAAGTGAACTTAACAGTCCCAATGTTGAATAAAGCTAAGAAAACACATTGCTTCCACAACTGCCTATTTGATAAGAAGTTCTGAGAAAACAAGAAAGCAGTTTGGAAAACAAAAGGTCTTAGACAAGTGTTCTATTTCATATAATCACTGTACATGCCAACTAACTCATCACCGACTTAAAAAAGTTACATTTTTTTAAATTGGAGGAAAATAGATGGAAATGTCTTTCAAAACTATGAATAAGAGGAAAATTCTTATTCAAACAAGGAAAAAAGATCAGGAAGACAAAATAATTCCAATTACATAAAAATTTAAAAAAATCTTTGCACAAACAAATCAATACAGCTAGAATAAGGGGGGAAAACTATTAATTAGGAAAATATCTTCCCATGGAACAATGTCTGGTAAGGATCTTTTATCTAAGATAAACAGAATTAAATCAAATAAAGATCATGAGCCATCCCACAATGAATAAATGGTCTACGGCTATGAACAAGTAGTTCTAAAATGGCAGATTGCAAGCCTATTAACAACCATGTCAAAGACTGAAAAAAATTGCTAGTAACAAAAGAAATAAAAATCAAAACAACTTTTGAGCTTTCATCTCATTCTCAGCAGACTGGCAATGACAAAAGAGGACAGCTCCAATTGGCCTAAGCATTGAAACAAGATTAAAAAGAAAAAAAGAGAGAATAATATACCCAAGGACATAAAGCAAAAGCTCTTTTTAAATGTAACTGGAAAAAAAGCAAAGGATGTTAGAATATGGTTGTAAAGACTATATCACATGCACATTCTGATATATTAGGCATTTCTTCTTCAAGTCTCTTATCCATTTACTAACTCCTAACTAATGTATAACATTTTGAATTTGTAAGTAATTAACAGTGGTTTTTAAACTAATAGTTTTCCATCTTTATGTCATTTCTGCATATGCATACACACAAAATGCCTGGAGTCCTCAATCACAATTAAAAAAAAAACTTTTGGCACTTAACACCTGCTGGCAGGAAAAGCAAGGAAATAGGGTAACAATAATTAGCTAGATTAGTTCAGTTAACAATTACCTAAATCTTTCAATACAGTGTAGAAATACTATACATATCTCAACTTTATGGAATATTCTAAGATAACTACTCTGTTCTGAAGTCTTTAAAACCTTTCCAAACATAAATACCTGCTCTTATAGATCTCTCCAACAGTTAAATTGTCATATTATGTTGGCTGTTTATTAATATATTGTGAAAAACACTAGGCAACTTTAATCATTCATTAAAAAAAACTTTAATGAAGTTAAATTCAAAGAACAACTAAAATTGAAATATTTTTATTAAATGCAATAGCATAGGGAATTTTTTTTTTTACTTTTAAGGAGCTAGATTCTAAATATTACTAAAACTTCTGTTAATTTCATTGCCCAATTCCTTTTAACCATCTTATTTCTTGTCTGCATTAAAAGCTCACCAAAAAAGATAAAAAGCATAGTGGCTTATTATATATTTTCTTCTCTCTCTCTCTTTTTTTTTTTTTGCTTTTTGGTGAGGCAATCGGGGTTTAGTGACTTGCCCAGGGTCACACAAGTACTAACGCATCAAGTGTCTAAAATGTGACCTGAGATTCTCCTGACTCCCGGGATGGTGCACTATCCATTTTTCCACCTGCCTCCTTCTTTTTCTTCTTACTCTTCTTCAGGCTCAGTGGTTCTATGGCCTTTCCCAAACCCTTTAGCCTGTGGCCACTTGATTTAGGCTCTTGGCCCTCTTTTGTTTTAGTGCCATCTTTCTCTGATTCTACATCTTTCTCCAAACTATTTTGTGCTAATATTTCATCCAACAATAGATCTTTTTCTAACCGTATATTTGGAAATTTATGCTGTAAGAAGAAAACTATTACAATAGCCACTATAAATAAAAAGGATCTAAATACTAAACAAAATACGCATAGGGGATCACACACAATTGGTCGAGGTACTTGCCACTGTGGATACCAGAAATGATAATCTGTAAATAAAGAAGCAATTAGATACTTGCTTTCACTCAGACAAGACAAATTATTGAAGAATTAGAGAAAGATAATACATACGTGCAATTCTGTCACGCTCAATGTTACCTAAAAAAAATGGAGAAAAAATGTGTAAATAACTATATTAAATAAAAGGATATTTTTAGAATCACAAAATCTAAGTTGGAAGAGACCTCAGAACTCATCTAGCCTAACCCATTTCTGAACAGGCATCTCCTCTGTAACATCTCCCCAAAGTGGTGTAATCCAGCCTCTTCTCAAAAATAATCAAGGCTATGTTTATGTCTATGTGTATATGTGTGTGTGTGTGTGTGTGTGTGTGTGTGTGTGTGTGTGTGTGTATGTGTGTGCGTGTATTTCTGTTAACGGCACATTTATTTTCAGAAGGCTCAGGCTTGAGGTTGACAAGAAGACACATTCAACTCCTCTCTCGTCTTGCCTGCAATATCCAAATGGGTACCAGGTCACTGTAGACTTTTTAAAATAATCTCTCGCATCATTATTTTCTTTTCCATTCCCAAAGCTACTACACTAGTGTAAGTTCTTATCATCTCACACCAAGATAACTAATCACCATACCTCAGGTTCTTAATACCTTATGCCAGTATGATAACAATAGCCTTATAATTTGTCACAACATACCTTTTCCAGGTTGATCTTTCAAAAACAAAACAAAACAAAGCTTTCCTAAAATTACTCTTCTGAAAATGTAATGCCCCCTACTATCTTTTTATAGCATTCAAAGTCTTCTACAATTATACCTTATGCATTGCGGGGGGTTAGGGGTGCAGCACTCCTGTAATCTGGAAAATCTGTGTAAAATTTTTTTGCCCTCCTTTTGCACCAGAGAAGAAGTTTGCATTTTTTCTTCTTCTTTTATGGGGGATTTACAGTAGCATATTGTAAAATTTAGGCTGATATTATATAATACTGTACATATATTTTATGCATTTCTGAGTTTCTAAACTTTTTCTGTGTTGTCAGTTGACCTTTGCACATCATTTGCGGCTGCCTCAAAACTCCCTCCAAATTCCCATTTAATTTCTTATGCCAACCTGTGATATATTGAAACCATGACGGGGAAAGTTGTGACATGGAACAGATAACTGTAATATCCAATCCTAATCAACACTGAAAGCTCACCTCCTTCTACTCCTACTACGCAGCACTTTTGTCGGACTGATGTACTCATTGTCACCAAAACAAGTGCCCCCCTCCATATATATGTACACACACACACACACACACACACACACACACACACACACACACATACACACCCCTCTAACCATGTAGTTGCTTGGATCTAGTTTCTTTGACCATAAGATATGTAATCAATCTACTAGAACTTGGAGGTTTTGGGAGGGATATCCAAACACAAAATCCCATATCCTTTAATGTAAGAAAATGAATGTGCATATGCACATTTGCATGTATTTGCATACCTCAGAACCTCTCAGATACAGTAACTTGTAATGATGTATTTAACATCCTAAGGATGCCTAACTAAATAAGCCTTTAAATATTTATGGTATTTTTATATTGGTCAATTTTATGTTTTAACACCCCAAACTAGTTTTCTAACGTGTGGATTGAAGAGTTATTTATTGCATGAGTTCCATAAATTCATATGCGAATCTATAAACAAGCAAATTTACCCTCTGCATATTACATAATTAATGTCTTCTACATGTTACTTTTTCAAATCTATATAGATGCTGCTATGATTAATAAAATACAAAATCCTATTCCTCTGGGACATCCCGTTCACCTTCTGCACCAAAACCTATCCTTTCCTTTATATTCAGCTCAAAATTTTACCTCCCCGTGAAGCCTTACTTTATACTTTACTCAGTCATATTTCCCACATCAGATCTCATATAAGGCTTACTGCCTATACCAATCATGTGATACTTGAGTGCATATTTATTGTTATTGTATATTTGTATATTTTATTGTTAATTCAACACTTTCTTTGTGTGAATGCATATGTGTTTTGTCTATCCAAGCAGATTTTAAGAACTACCCCCCAGGTCAGGGGCCTTGTTTTATTTTTCTTTTTATCTATTAAAGCATCTAGCACAATACAATGTATGGAAGAAGAACTGAGTAATGAATAAATGAATTTGATAAATGAATGAGGAGAAAAGAGGCAGTTTACTGTAGCAGTTAGCAATTAGAGTTTCCAGGAAGTGTCACAGAGAACTAAATACTTCACTTTTCATAAATAAAGAGCATAGGAAAAATGCTCTAATAAATGAAAGAGATTGTGATACACATATGTTTCCATCCAGAGCCAATCAGCAACTCCATACATAGAAAATTCAGGTCAGTCTCCTTGCTAAAATATAAGTAAAAAGATCAGAACACTATATCTCTATAATCTGACTTATTAAAGACAAGAATGTATTCTTTGAAAGAATGAAGATGTGTTAAAATCAAAGCAAAGAAAAACAGTTTAAGAATAGAAAGGGAAATCCAAATGGCTTCATCACAAAATCATAGATTAGAACTAGAAGTCATCAGCCCTGAGAGGACATTTAGGTCACATACCTCATTTTAGAGATGAGGAAATATGCCTGAAAATTTTAACTGATTTTAATTCAATTCAACAAATATTTATTCGTTATTACTATGTGTCAGTGACTATGTTAGCTGCTGGGATAAAATGTAAAATCAAAAAAAATGTCGAGACAAAAAAGTAAAAATGAAGTAGGGTTTTTTTGGTTTGTTTTTCAAGGATATCTAGATATTAAGTAGCAGAACAAAAGATTGAACCCCTTTGAGCCTCCTTCTCCCCAAATCCCAGGTCCTTTCTACTGCCCTACACTACCTTCATGCCAACACTACCAACAAGATTAATCTATTTTAAATCTTTTCAGGGGGCAGCTAGATGGTGCAGTGGATAGAGCTCCAGCCTTAGAGTCAGGAAGATCTGAGTTCAAATCTGGCCTCAGACACTTGACACTTACACTGGGCAAGTTACTTAACCCTGACTGTCTCACAAAAAAGACAAAAAAAAATTAAAATCTTTTCAAAAACTGCTAAATATTTAGTGTTAAAATGGAGTTTCAAAGTCATCTAGTTTATTTACTGACCAAATGAGAAATCCCTTCTGCAACACCTTCTGCAAAAGTGGTAATTTAGCATCTGTTTCAACACATCTAGCGACAAAGACATCACTAGCTTACGTTTAGGTCAAACGGAAAGATACTATAGTAGCATGACCAGCCAGAAAGCAAAATGATGACGTCAAAGAAGTTACCTCCATTTTGTTTCTTTGAACCCTGCCTCCACTCAAGGATGCAAAGTACATGTTTTGTGCCCCTCTATTGCCATCCCAGTGTTCTTTAGACTGTATATTGATTGTGTTCTCAAATACCTTGTATTTCTTGTTTCTTGATGTCTCATAAAGTCATTAGCTTCCAGTTAACCAATTCTAATTTTTAAGGAGTTATTTTCTTCAGTACTTTTGTGCCTCTTTTACCAAGCTGTTATTTCTCTTTTCATAATTTTCTTACTTTATTCTCATTTCTTTTCCCAATTTTCCACTGATTTAATTTTTTTTTTACTTTTTTCTTAATATCTCTCTTTTTAAGTTCTTTTAGGAATTCTTGTTGGGCTTGTACTGAACCTGCATTTTGATTTGAGGCTTTGTTTGTAGATATTTTCCAGTTATTACCTTTTACTGAGTTTTCATCTTGAGCTTCCCTGTCACCTGAGTAGCTTTTAAGATCATATTCTTTTTTTGTTATTTGCTCATTTTTCTAGCCTATTTTTTGACTCTGCACTTTATCTGACAGTTGAGATCTGCTCATATCTGGGTGTGTGTGGAGACTGGGCTGGGGGGAGAACTGTCCCAGGTATAGTGTTTTTATAGCCTGTGCTAGTTTAGGGGGCTTATAAGTTTTAGGTCCTTACAACGTGGTGTCATTTGGGGAGAAATGTAGGCACTGCTCTCCTTGTCTGCATTCTGGCATTTACCCAGGTAAAGCCCCTTCTCCCTTGTGACCACAACTTCTCTCTGCCCTGGAACTGCTACCATTCCCAGATAAGGCCTCTACTTGCTTACAATCACAAGCACTCCTCATGGCCATAGAATTGCAACTTGTATCTGGGCAGTGGAGTTGCATCACAGTACCTGATCTTGTGCCCAGTGCTAGCACAGGGTTCCCCTAGAATATTTTTCTGACTCCCTTACCATCTTTGAGTGCTGAGTGCTCCTAGTATTGCTACTACTATTGCAGCTATCATCTCCAAGGCCCATAGCTGGGTTGTATTCCCAGACAACTCCTACCCCAGTCCACAGACCTCTCTTTTTATTCTAAGTTATCATGGGCTGGAAAAATAACTCACTGTGACTTTTTTTTGCTTAAATTTTTTTTAATTTTTGCTTAAAATTCAATTTCACATATTTTTTAAAAGTTGTTTAGAGAAGAATATTGGAAGAACTTGGAAAAAATGCTCCCTCTACTTGGCCATCTTGTCTCCACCTCTCAGCAGCTCATATTTCTAAAGTACTTTTGTCATTTAGTCAACAAGCTTTGATTAAACACTTACTGCGTATCAGGAACTGTGCTAAGCACTGAGGCTACAAACAGAAGCACAAACATGGTCCTTGCCCTCCAAGAGTTCACATTCTAATATGGAAAACAGGTAAGCAACTTTATGCTCTGCAGGCTAAAATGGAGGTAATCTCAGAAAGGTGTTAGGAAGGGGCTAGCTATGAAGACTTTTTGCAGATGTGTCTGAGCTGAGGGATCTGAGCTGAATCTTGAAGGAAGTCAGAGAATCCAGAAGGTGAAGGTAAGGAAGGAGAACACTCAAAGCAAGGAGGAAAGCCAGTGAAAAGGTACAGAGTCAAGAGATGAAGAATTGTGTCAGGAACAGCAAGAAAGCCAGTGCTACTGGATTGTACAGTACATGGCAGGGAGTAAAGTGTACGATTAGAAAGGTGGAAAGGAACCAGATTGTGAAGGGCTTTAAAAGCCAAAGAGAAAGATTTGTGTTTCTTCCTAGAGGTAACAGGGATTCATTGGAGTTTAATGAGTAGCAAATGACATGCTCAGACCTGCACTTTGCGAATCTCACTTTAGCAGCTGATTGGAGTATGAACTGGAATTGAGAGAGACTTGAGGCAGGAAAATCAAACAGCAGGGTATTATAATAATATAATCAAGAGGTGATAAGGCTCTGTATCAGGGTGGTGGCAGTGATGGCAGTGTCAGAGGTTAGAAGATCCATATGTGAGAGATATAAAAGCAGTAACAATAAGACTTGGCAACATATTGGATATGAGGGGTGAGTGCAAGTGAGGAGTTGAGGATGATATCAAGGTTGTGAGCCCTGGCTATTATGAGGACAGTAAGAGAGAATGTGGAAAGAGGAGAGATCTGTGCATAGGAAAGATAATAAGTTCTGTTTAGGGCATGTTGATTCTGAGATGTCTATGAGATATTCAGTTTAATGATATCTAATAAGTAGTTTATGATGTGAAACTGGAAGTAAGGAGAGATGTCAGGACTGGATACATAGATCTGAGAATAACCTGCATAGAGATGATAATTGAACACATGAGACTGGATGATATTACCAAAGGAGACAATATTGACTGAAATGAGAAGAGAACCCATAACATAGCTTAGAAGACCCAGCGAAAGAGATTTGAGTAGGGGCAGTCAGACAGAAGAAGAATTAGAAGACGATAGGATTATGAAACCTAGAAAGCAGAGAGTATCTAGTATAAAAGGTCAACTGACAATGTTAAAGGCTGAAGAGAGGGTAAGATGAGGACTGAGAAAAGACCATTCGATTTGGCAGTTAAGGTATCATTAGTAATTCTGGAGAGAGCAGTTTTAGTTGAATGATAAGGTCCAAAGCTAGACTGTAGAGGATTTCAAAAATGAGAGAAGTAGAAGCACCTATTGTAGATGACTTTCTCAAAGAGTTTGGCTATGAAAAGGAGCAGAGATATAGGATAATAGTTATGAAGTTGGTTGGATCCAGTGAGGCCTTTTAAGGATGCAGAAGACATAGGAGTGTTTGTAGGCAATATGGAAGCAGTCAGTAAACAGAGAGAGACCGAAGATTTAGGGGAGAGAAGGAATGATAGGGAGGGAAATCTTTTGGAGAAGACGGTATGGAATGAAATTAAGGGTATAAATAGAAGGATTTGCCTTGGCATGGAGAAGGACTACCTCTTTATGTGAAGGTAAAGGAAAAAACAGTGGGTATTGTGAGTAATGTAAGATGAAGGGTGAGGGGGTATAGGAACAAAGAATAGGGTTAGAAATAATTAAGCAAAGGAAAATATGGAATCATAAATTAATGACCAAGTAAAGGAATTTTAGTGGTCATAAATATGGAAGTAGAACACCTTAGAATGACAGTAATATCAACAGAATGACCAATCTGTAGCAAAGGTGAAATGAAAGTAGGTCAAGAGAACATAGAAGACTGAGGAATTGAGATATTAAGAGTGTTTGAGGGATCATTAATATTGATGTTGAAATCTCCTAGTATGAGAGCAGGAGTTGAGTTGGAGAGAAAGACTACTAACCAAGGCACAGAATTCTCTGGGGAAGGAAGGTGAATGTCCTGGAAGTTGGTAACCAAGGCACAGAATTCTCTGGGGAAGGAAGGTGAATGTCCTGGGAGTTGGTAGACAATGTCTATCAGAATCTTGATTTGGTGATAAATTTGGATTGGATACACTTCAAAGGATGAGAGGTTACTGAGTGATGGTGGTAGAAAGAGATTCTGGAAGACCAGGTAACAGAAGTATTTTGGCTCCCCCACCACGACAGATGAACCAGGGGTATGAGTGAAAGTACAATCAGTACTGAAAAGAGTGGCCAAGGATGCCATATCATTAGGAGGGAGTCAGGTCACAGTGAGAGCAAAAAGAGGGAGGGAGTGCGAAAGGAAAAATTTTAAGATGAAAATGAGTTTGTTAACCATTGAGCAGATATTCCAGAAAACAGTGGATAGGACAGATAGATTTGAAGTGGGATATTTGGTGAGGGGGAATAGAGGAGGATGGATTAAGAAAGGGAGCAGCAAAGGATAAGGAATGAGGTTTATCCAATGACAGCCAGGGGTTTAAAATCACTGGAATGTGAGATTATGGGGTGGTATGCTAACCATTAAGGAATAAGTTCAAGAAGAATATAGGTGACTAGAGAGAAGTCTGCTGAAAGAAGCAGATGATTAGATGAGTAAAGATTCTCCCTTGGAGTTCAGCCTCATTGCATATGGAGATATTAAGCCCTATGAAGCTCAAGAGGCCAGACTCACACACAGGGCAGGCAGGAGAAAGCAAAAGTACAGCCTGGAGGAGTCTAGACAGGAGTCAGTCAGTAGGTGGCAGTTCAGGGCCAGAACTGAGAAAGGTTCCAGAATATTATAGAATGCTGGGGCAAAGGCAGGGTTGGATCTGAAGCTGATGTAGCCATCCCTGAGAAGTCTCTGGAGCTAAATGAAAACTCAAAAACATCATAAATAAAATGCAAAGTTTCCAAGTGAAAAGAAAAAAAAATCTACTAGTAGCCAAACAGAGTTCAAATACCAAGAAGCCACAATAGGAATTACACAATACTTAGCAACTGCAACTATAAAGAAGAGGAAAGCTTGAAATATGATATTCCAAAAGGCAAGAGATAAAGTTTTACAACCAAAGATAAATCTATCTGACAAAACTAAGTATAATCATACAGGAAGGAAAATGGACTTTTAAAAGAAGAAGAATTTCTAAGCATTCTTGATCAAAAGGCCAGAACTGAGGGAATTACTAAGTTTAATCTGGAAAAGACATACAGATACACACACACACACACACACACACACACACACGTATGTATGTATATGTCTCTAAATATTTGAAGATTACAATTATATACATATATTATGTGTCATATTACATGTGTATATATATGTATATACTCACACATATATGTGGGTGGGTGTATATACATACATACAATAGAAAGGAAAAGTAGACTTATATTGCTTGGCTTCAGAGGACAAAAACCAGGACCACTACATAGAGTTTATAGGGAGGCAGATTTTAGCTCAGTATTAGGAAACACAACTAAAGAGCTATCAGAAATGAAGAAGCCATTTAGGGAGTCAGTTTATTCTCAAGTAGAATTGTTGGTTGATCACTTGTTAGAAGGGAATTCATGCTTTAAATGAAATAAAGTATGTTGTAGTTATAGGTTGAAGCAAATCACTTCTAAGGTAGCTCCCAAATCTAATGTTACATAATTCTACTTGGATAGGTGGACCAATAATAACATGGCAGTAAAAAAAAACCACACTATTAAATCATATCATTGTCATCTAATACATTTATGGATGTCATTCTTTTCTTTCCATATTCAACTTATTGCCTTAATCTTACTGCATAGCATATCGTGGCATGTATCTCCTGGATCACATTTGCTACAAAATCTTCCTTCTTTATAAGGCCTTCTCCTAGGATTCCCACTGTGAAAGTATGAAAAAAACATTTGGTTAGAATATCAATTTTCATATGAATTTAAATAACACATACTTGTCAATTCTTAATAAAAATCCTAGTATGAACTAAGAAAATGACCTCAAGGAAATACTCAACCAAAAAAATAGGCCCTTCTGTAACCATTCTTCTTCATATACCAGTGACAAAGTAGCATAGTTTAAAATGAAAATGGATTTTAAACCTTTCTCTGATTTTACCTTGTATAGAAATTGTCTCCCACAACTGCTGATCCACCTCCCTCCAATTTATAGCACAGATTATACTATATCCCCTTGGTTTTCTGAGTCTTTCTTAGTTTCATCACCTACAAAATATGGATAATAGTGTTTATAGTACTGACCTCACAAGAAAATTTACTTCAAAGTAATATATATGTGTGTGTGTGTGTGTGTGTGTGTGTGTGTGTGTGTGTGTGTATTTACTTTAAAGTAATGTATATACTATTTCCTATGGCAAAATTAAAAGAAGAAAATTAAGTAAAGAGGGTTTTAAAAAGTGTTAATACACTTATTTTAGGGGAAGATGACCATAATCAGACTTGCTTACTGACCAGCATAACAGAAAGGGTATAGATATAGTAACTATGTCCAATAAATATATGATCAGAAAATTGATTTAAGGTAAGACACAAATTTCTACTGTTTAGTGAGGAAAAGTACATTAGCATAACAAAATCAAGCAAATAGAAAAAAGCAGGAAACCAGCTTCTAAGCAGAAATGTACAGAGTAAAAGAATGACCTTAGTGAAATGACATTCTTTTTAAAAGGCAATAGAAGAGAAAAAGGGAAGGACAGAGAAGATCAATTCAGAGGCAGGTAGATAGGGATGTTTCTCCCTGGAACTGAGAAGTATATTTGGAGTCCAACAAAAACTTAATGGGTAACTCTCTCGATGTTAGGACTAAAGGAGTCAGCCAGTCATTCTAGAATAAAGTTCCAAATACATTCATGGATTCCAAATTTTAGAGCTGAAAGAGATCTTAAACCGTCAAAGCTATCAAGAGTAAGAAAACTCAGGTAAAACTTAAAGCACAAACAGATAAGTCAACAGAAGATACTAAAACAAAAAGGAAGATGGCTACCAAGTAACTGAAATAAATTAAAATATTTCTATTGCAGGACAAAGAAGCTTGAACCAATATTTGATGAAACAGAGAACCCTGTGGATTCCCATGACACTCCAGTGAGATGTTCCCAAATGTTGAAAGAGAGAAATAAAAATCTTAATAGAAGCTAAAAGGGAACAAAAGTAGAACTCAGGGCCTACATAGCAGAAATAACTAGCATAAGAGAAAAGCTTCATTCCATGGAGGCACATCTTTCCAAAATATGAACAACATATTGAGAATACACACTGAAGTGAAAAGCAATCTGGAAGAAAATCAGCACGAAACAGAAACATTAAAAGAATACATCATCTCCTTACTAGCAAAACAGACTGCTTTTGAATACAGGTTGTATAGAAACAGCTAAAAGATGAAAGGCCCTCCAGAACAACATAAGACAAAAATGTGTATATCATAACACAATAAATAATGCAAGAAACCCCTCCCCCAGAATTTCTGAATACAGAAATAAAGCAAAGATTACAAAAAGATCTATAGATCCTTTCTAGAATTTAACAAGTAAATAACAAATTCCATAAACATCTAGGAAAAGACCTTCAAAAATAAAGGAAGTTTGAATACAATAAGATTATCCTGCACCCAGCAGAAATCAGAAAGGGAAATGGAATGATATATTCCAAAAAGCAAAGGAGTTCAGGATACTAGCTAAAATGACATACCCTGAACACTCAGGTTTAATCATTAATAATAATAAAAAAAAGACTATTGTTTGGTAAAAGACAGGCATTCTGGAGCATTCTTCAAAAAAAAAAAAGACATGGGGGTGTGGAGACAAGACGGTGAAGTAAAGGCAAGGACTCACCTGAGCTCTCCCCCAAAACCCCTCCAAATACCTTTAAAAATGATTATAAACAAATTCTAGAGCAGCAGAACACACCAAAAGGTAAGAGTAAAACAAATTTCCAGCCCAAGACAATCAGGAAGGTAGATAGGAAAGGTCTGTTTCACCAGGCTGAGAGATGAGCAAAGTCCAGCACAGGTGCCAGCGTAGCCTGGGCCACAGCAAACCCAGAGCAGGCCTCAAGGGACTGAACTGCTGGCAGCAGGAAAGGTTTGTTGGACCTGGGTGAGAGAAAAGCATAGTTTAGCACAGACTGTACCAACACAACCCCAGTCTCAGCACAGCCCCAGCCTCAGCAAACCAGGAGCAAGCCTTGGGAGTGACTGTATCAGCAGTGGCAGCAGCAGAAGCTGCTTCTGGAGCTCTCAGCTCACAAACAGGAAGGAGATCCAACAGCTGGTCCAAAGGAGATTCCAAGGGTCTCTTTGCTAGCACTGAAGTTGGACTCTGTTGCTTTGCTAATACTTGGATCTGGGTCATAATCCTGGGTGGCAGTCCTGAGGCAAGGAGGAGTACTAGCATAGCAGAACTTGCAGCAGCAGTGGAGAGGGGACCCTCCTCACAGTTCCAGGGCAGAAAAGCATGTTTGTGGTCACTCACACACAGAGCACAGGCCAGGAGGGTAATAAACATACCTCTCCTTAGATCATACCATTTTGGAACAACTGAAACCTTACAGGTCTCTAGAAGCCTTTCTGAAAACACCTGCAAAAAACCCCTGAAGCTTGAGACAGTTCACCCTCCACAATGGAAGCAGAGCCCTACCTTAACAAAGAGTTAAAAAGTCAAGTAATAGGCTGGGAAAATGAGCAAACAATGGAAAAAAACTCTGACTACAGAAACTTACTTCGGTGACAAGGGAGATCAAAACATACATTCGGAAGAACACAACAAAATCAAAGCTCCTACATCCAAAGCCTCCAAGAAAAATATGAATTGGTCTCAGGCCATGGAAGAGTTCAAAAAGGATTTTGAAAATCAGGTAAGAGAAGGAGAGGAAAAATTGGGAAGAGAAGTGAGAGTGATGCAAGAAAATCATGAAAAACGAATCAACAGGTAAAGGAGATCCCAAAAAAATACTGAAGAAAATAACATCTTAAAAAATAGACTAAACCAAATGGCCAGAGGTCCAAAAAGCCAATGAGGAGAAGAATGCCTTAAAAAGCAGAATTGGCGAAATGGAAAAGCAGATACAAAAGTTTACTGAAAAAAATAATTCCTTAAAAATCAGAATGGAGTAAATGGAAGCTAATGACTATGAGAAATCAAGAAATTTTAAAACAAAAACAAAAGAATGAAAAAATAGAGGACAATGTGAAATATCTCACTGGAAAAACAACTGACCTGGAAAATAGTTCCAGGAGAGATAATTTAAAAATAATTGGACTACCTGAAAGCCATGATCAAAAAAAGAGCCTAGGCATCATCTTTTGAGAAATTGTTAAGGAGGGGCGGAGCCAAGATGGTGCAGTGAAAGCAGTGACTTGCTTGAGCTCTCCTCCAAACCCCTCCAAATACACATAAAAAATGGCTCTAAACAAATTCTAAAGCAGCAGAACCCACAAAAAGACAGAGTGAAACAAATTTCCAGCCTAAGACAACCTGGATAGTGGATCAGAAAGGTATATTGTGCTGGGCAGGAAGAGGAGCACAGTTCAGCATGGGTGCGCAGGCTGCAGTGAACCTGAAGCAGGCCTCAGAGGACTAACTCGCGGGCAGCTGTGGCAGCTTCCTGACTTCTCAACCCACAAATGCCAAAGACAACTTAGAAGGTCAGTGGGAAAAGTCCATTTCTGTGCTGGGAGAGTAGCTAGGTCTCAGCCCAGCTCCCAAGTGCAGCCCTGGAGTGGCACCTGCTTCCTGAGCTTCCGGCCCACAGACTGAGGGGGAATTGATCAGAGTGGGAATTGCAGGGATCTCTTTGCCAGTGCTGAGGCAGGAATCTCTTCCTTTGCCCGTGCTTGGATCTGGGTCACAGTTCTAGGTGGCGGTCGGGGGATGAGGAGCACTGGCGTGGTGAGCTTGTAGTGGTGGTGAAGAGGAAATCTTCCTCACAGTTCCAAGACAGAAAAGAGTGCTTGTGGTCACTCATAGACCAGAACACAGGCCAGGAAAGGAGTAAACACCTCACGCTTTATCATACTACCTTGGAAGAAATGAAAATTTACAGGTCCCTGGAAGTGTCTCTGAAAACAACTGTACAAACTCCCGAAGCTTGGGACAGTACATTCTCCACATCAGAAGCAGACTTCTACCTTAATAAAGAGTTCATAACTCAAGTAATTGGACGGAACCACGAGCAAACCTCACAAGATGTGTCAGACCATAGAATCTTTTTTAGGAAACAAAGAAGATCAAAACATACAACCAGAAGAAGGCAACAAAGTCAAAGCTCCTGCATCCAAAGCCTCCAAGAAAAATATGAATCAGTCCTAGGCCTTGGAAGAGCTCAAAAAAGATTTTGAGAAGCAAGTAAGAGAAGTAGAGGAAAAACTGGGAAGAAAAATGAGAGTGATGCAAGAAAATCATGAAAAACAAGTCAACAGCTTGATAAAGGAGATCCAAAAAAAATACTGAAGAAAATAACACCTTAAAAAATAGCCTAACCCAAATGGCAAAAGAGGTCCAAAAAGCCAATGAGGAGAAGAATGCCTAAACAAATTGGCCAAATGGAAAAGGAAGTCCAAAAGCTTACTGAAGAAAATACTTCCTTAAAAATTAGAATGAGCAATTGGAAGCTAGTGACTTTATGAGAAATCAAGAACTAAAACAAATCCAAAAGAATGAAAAATAGAAAAATGTGAAATATCTCATTGGAAAAACAACTGACCTGGAAAATAGATCCAGGAAGAGATAATAAAATTATTGACTATCTGAAAGCCATGATCAAAAAAGAGCCTAGACATCATCTTTCAAGAAATTATCAAGGAAAACTGCCCTGATATTTTAGAACCAGAGGGCAAAATAGAAATTGAAAGAATCCACCGATCTCCTCCTG